CCCCCACAGGGCAGCCTCGCTGTTTATTGGCTGACTGCTGGGCTCATCACGCCAGCCCTCCCGATGCAGCTCCCCATTGGCTAAAGGAGGCTGTCCTTCAAGTAGCGATTCTCGCAGCTATTGGTCATGAGCCGTGGCCGACTGGGCGTCTCCCTGCTATTGCATCTCTATTGACCGAGAGGTTCGTCGATCAACATGAGGGCCCGCCCATCGACCGGTCCAATTGGTTGAAGGCTCTCAGAGGAGGGCTGACCCCCATCTCCTATTTGCCAGGGATGCTGTCACTCAGGGATGGGGGCTGACTGCCCCCCCACCCACCCGCAGGCTGGCAGGGAACGACAGGGCCCAGCCCCACTAGCATAGAGCCCTGTCATGCACACGTGCTCCTCCCTCTCAATTTTCCAACTGGCTGCTCCCCCTGCCGCTCACAATGAAGCCCTGCCTCTCATGGAGCTGCATGGCCGCCACTCAATAAAAAAGTCCACCTCATCCCACCCTCCCCCCCACCTCAATCCCCCATTGGCCGCACCCAGAGCCCCATGAGCAACAACATCCACCTGCAAACCCCACTGATTGGCTGACTCCACTGCTCATCAACGGCTCATGCCGCCCCTAGGGCTGTGTAAACAGTCCCTCAGCGCTGGCGAGGGCTGGAGCAGGGCATGCCGGGAGGTGGTGCAAGGGGCGGGGCTTGGCACCGAGGCCTTAAGGGAGGTGGGGCCCCAGGGCCTAGTTCCCCCAGCACTGGGGACAACTGGGGAGCCCCTTCCCCCAGCTGGCCCAAAAGGGAGCGACAGCAACTTCAAATGCTTTTATTAACCTGTTACATCAAGAAAACCCAGACCTACCCTGTCCCCTCACACGCTTGGGGCTCCTCCACGCTTGCCCCAGGGGCAATGGCTACGCTGAAGCGATGAAGTGTGTGACCGACTCACTGCCCGCCCATCAGCGAGACCCAGCCCCAGCGCTGTCACTTTTTCTCCTCCTCCTTTTTGTCCTTGCTCTCCTTGGAGGCCTGTGAGGCCAGGGAGCCCATGGCGTTGCGGATGGCCTCGTTGTTGGGGTCCACGCCAGGCAGGTTCTCCAGCACGCTCTGCAGGAACTCGGGGTCCTGCATCACATCGTAGTCATCTTCCTCCTGCAGGGAGAGAGAGAGGAGTCAGGGATGGGCTGGGATGTGGTCATGGATGTGCCCCTCAGCAGGACAGACTCTGCCAGGGAAAGGGTGGGTCCTAGTGACCCAGGAAGCTGAAGCTCAAGGCAAGTCTGTAGGGTGAAGGGATGGAGGCAGCACATAACAAGGAACCTGGCCCCAGGGCTGAGCACAAGCAGAGAGGGGCTCAGGGATGCTGGGTCAGGCCTTTCCAGACAGACCAGGATGGCAAAGCATCACCTTAGCGGGTTCAGATGTGTCCATGGCTGTGCTGCTGTCCACTTCTGCCGCCTCTGCCTGGGCAAACTCTGTTGAGAGGAGAGAAACAGCTCAGAACAGAGGATTTACATACCTGCAGCCCCAGTCTGGACATGGTGGAGGACAGAGGTCACAGTTGAGCGGCCCAGGTACACACTTCACAGGCATTCAGGGAGATTCAGGCCCTGTCCAGGCGACAACTCCCCACTTCAGGGCATGTCAGTGTGTAGGGGACAGCGGTTCTAGTCCCAGATATGGAGGACTTGCCCCTTCACCCTTGTTCTGGGGCAAGTCAGCTGAGAATGAGATGAGCGCCGGCACCCAGCCACTCACCCGCTCCCTGCAGTGACATCTGCATGGCGTAGGCAATTTGTTCCTCCTCCGTCATGCTGCTGAGGTCAGGCAGCCCAGCTCGGCCAAACTCCTGCTGAGTTATCGTCATCTTCAGCAAAGCGTCGTCTGAATCTGCACGGACAAAACCCCGCACTCGGGAACCAGCCAGGAGAGCTGCTCTGAGTCGCTAGGTGACAAGGGCACTCCCATGGCATGACCAGCAGCACGAGAACCGCTTCCACTGTTGTAAATGCAGCTGTGCATTTACACACACAGCTATGGGGAAGGGGGCTAGAGCACAGCAGCTCCCTGCAGCATTCATGAGACAGGGGGATCTATCTCCATTTGGGAACAGAGGGGAGTTTCAGAAGAAGTAGGATGTAGCTCCCAGGCCTGGATCTGCCTCAAATGCTGAGGCTAAACAGCCTGATTGGAGGCAAGTCCAATGATTCAGGCCAGAAAGCCCCTCACGTTTCACCGTGGTGGCTCTGGGAACAGCAAAATTGCACAGAAGAGCCCTGCCATGAACAGAGCCTACATGCCACGGTGTCGGGGCAGCCCCACACCTCTGAGCGCAGCTACAGGAGTCCGGGCACCCCTTCCCACTGGCTGGGTGTAGATGTGCTCCCTGGGGAGCATGCTGCCTCGCCCTACACACTTGCCTTGAGCAAGCTTATTCCCTGTCCAGTTCCTTACCGTCCCCACCAGTGGCTGCGATCCCAGCCTCAGCCGCAGAGGCGGCTGCAGCCCTCCTGGCCTCCTCCTCTTGCCGCTGCCTCTGCTCCTCCATGGAGACCCGCAGGGCCTGTGGAGACAGGGACAGTGCAAAGATGAGCTGGGCAGAGCTCTGACATCCCAAGCTCATGCTCACCATCACCCTCTGTCTCCTCATCGCTTACCAGAGCCAATTCTGGGTCTGCGCTCGGATCCACACCAAACTCGAAGTCGCTGGCCCCAAGGCCCAGCATGGCACCGCCCTCCCCAGCCAGAATGGGGGAGCTGATGAGGGCATCGGCTAGGCTCGGCCCCGGAGGCACTGTCACCAAGTGGGAGCCAGTCCCATCCTTGCCGTTTAAGGTGTTAATGAAGGCAGTGAGCTTGTCTGTATTGGCTTCCTACAGTCAAAGAGAAAAGCTGGGATTAGAGACTGATTTGACTCCCTCATCAGCTCTGTGAGGGACAGGCAGCAGGTCGCTCTACACACCCCAACGTCCTCCCAGTCCTTGGCTCACTCTCTACAGCTCTCACAGTACAGGGTAACCAAGAGCTGTACAAGCGGCTTGGGGTTATGCCACGCTTCATCCCTGGGGGCTGCCATCTGTCACAGAGGCCCAGTAGTGGGCGGCTGCACAGCCCTCCCAGCAGGAAAGCCATGCCTTGGCTGTATTATCCTCTTGCAAGCTACTTTTCTCCCCGTGAACAAAAACCCCCAACAGTGCCCGGATCAGAGCAGAGCAACATGTGATGCTGATCCCAAGACAAGGAGTGAGGGGTCAGAAACGCCACTCAAAGGCACATGAGTGGCTCTGGTATTTCCTTTAAGGAGAAAAGCATTCAACAATGCTTGCAGTGAAATGGGAGAGGTCTCTTACTCCTGACATTAGCATTTTTATTGAGACAGCTGCTAAAGAGACTGAGGTTCAGAGAACTGTTCCTTTTTTTCACTCATGTGCCCAAGCAAGATCTACAGGCTGGAAAGGATACAAAACCCTGGCTTGGATCTGAATTAAAAGGAACAGGGGAGAAGTCTCACCTCTTCTCCAAAGTTGATTATGTCAACGTTGACTTTCTCTTTCTTAAGACGCTTTGCCAGTTTCACCAGCTGCAATAAGGAGAAACTGCAGCATTAGTCTTCCATGGCTTTGATTTCAGTTCTTATATATATTCAGCTCATCAGAAACCAGACAACAGCACTAAGGATTCACTCCTTGAGATGCAGAGCCCCAGTTTGGAGCTTCCCAGATTCTAGCCCTCACAAGCTCCAGAGCTATTTCCCAGCAGCAACACATTTGAGATAGTCCATATATGGGATAGGCACTACCAAACAATGCCTAAGTCACTTCAGGGTGGCACGAGTGAGAAAGTTCTTGCTGCCAGAGGAATTAACTGTCCCCATCACTTCTGCGAAAATGCCAGCGAGAGCCTGGAGCAGGGAACATCATCTCCCCCCTAAAAGCAGACATGTTTTTTACTTGCTCTTTCAGAGAGACCCAGAATGTCTGGATTAACTGTGTTTGCCTTATTTCAAGCGCAAAGAGAATAGCACCTTCCTAAAGTTCAGAGTTTGCTTTCTGCTAAGGGATCCAGATAGCTTCCCTTAGCTCCTCAGACTAAAAGCCCGCAGTGATCTAGGTGGCAGCAAGAAGTCAGGAGGCCCAGGACACAACACAGGCTCCCTCAATAGACAGAGCAGCCTGAACTGGCAAAAGGAAGCGATTCCACACGAAACAGCAAGAGATCTGGATCTCTGTCCTTGGCTCAGGTCTGACCGTGCCCATTCTGCCTGGCAGCTCTGGGCCTGCCTCAGAGGCTAAATGCTCAGCTGACCCTGAGCCCTTCATCAAACGATAAACATGGTTCTCTTCTGAGTGCAAGTGTATCACGTTTCCCTGGGAAAGGAGCCAGTGCTAACGCACTAGGTTCTTCAGAGAAAGCCAGCTGTTTCATTGCATCAGCCTTCTTCCATACTTTGCAGAGATGCCTGAAGAACTGCACGGGTTGGGCTGCCTCTGTCTGCATTAGGTTTGCCCTCCAACACAGAAATACCCTTCACACCTGCCTGGCTCAAGCTCCCACACTCCAGACCCCAGCCCCAGTCTGGGTCCGTTCCCCCGGAGACAGGAACCCTGGCAATGCCTACAACAGCCCTTCCTCACTCTCTCTCTTCCTCCCCACTCAGAATCGCCCTGCTAGCAAGTGCGTCTGTCAGGTGGTCTCCTTGCTGGCATATAAAGCTTTATGTTTAATACAGAGCAGGGAACTATTCAAAGAAGCTGATTTACAGTTCAAGGCATTCAAGCAGGGTGAGGAACAGACCCAACATATTTTTATTTGACTTGTCATTACTCACATCTTTCTCATTATCTTCTACAGGGCTCCCAACAAAGGCAATGATTCGCATCTTGTGATTCTTGCCTTGACGATGTTTTAAAGCCAGCTACAAAATAAGAGTCATATGCTACTTACTGAGCAATTCCCAGGAAAGAAGAGATGGCCATTAATCACTTCTCTTACTTTCAGGAAGGTGCGTGCTACTTGCACACACAGGAGAATTTAGGCTAAATATCAGGGGAGACTTTTCAGTAGCAATTTTCATCAAACTGAGAGATAGCTGAACAGCAGAAGCCCTGAAGGAAGCTAAATCCACACCAACAGATCAGCAAAGAACCAACTGGGCTGAGAGCAACTCGCAATTTCTCCTCTTCCACCCCAAATCCAGAGTCAAATCAGCTCTGTGTTAGCAATTCAGGTCACAGCATTATGCTGTTTTTCAGTGCAGCTGCTGCTCATACAGAGAGTTTCAGGTAGAACAGCCCCTAATGATGAGGTTGTCAGCTGCTCCCAGTAGGGCAACCATTGCAGACTCAGTTTTGCACTAGTTTTAGGCCTGCAGCAGAACCGAAAGGTATGTTCATGTGATTGTAAGTCCACAAGCAAGCGTGCTTTAAGGACCTCCCCTTTGCTGGAAGCTATGGCTCAGCTGGCAGCAGGCATGTGCTGCCAGTTTGTTGCTACCCAGTCAAGTAAGCTCATTTAAAACTTCTTTTCCCACTGAAGAATGCTACTGTCTTAAAGTGCACTAACTAGATTGATTTGTAACAAAGCTTTCATTGTTTTGAGATCAGAGGAGCTCCAGATCAAAGCTCGGAACAAGCTCAAGAGGCCTGATACCATGTCTTTTCCCTCACTGCAAGGGCAGATGAGAAACATATTCCAGGACAGAGCAAACAACAGGAAAAAAGGGTGACCATGCCATGGTGAAGAGTCCTGAGTTAAGGAGGCTGCTCTCCTCAGTGGGAAGGGCTGGACTTGGCACATCAGCTCACTCAGCTCAAGGTGTGCCATAGTCAGAGTCTGGCTACAAATCAGAAGTCTGCCATCTCCCTCTAATGCATATTCCCCCCTTCACGAGATAGTCATGGGTTTCCCCCAACTCGAGCTCTAATAAATACAGTTATTTTTCAGAGTAGCAGGTGACAGCTGAGCAGGATTACATTAAATCCAGCACCTTGGCCTAATTCCAACAAGGGTAGTTTCAAGCCACCTTCCTAAATTCACTTTGCACGTCCAGATACTGATTCATCTTAAGCTGCTGTGCAGCATGGCTGGATTTCTACAAAGCAGCTGCCAAGACTGATCTACCTCTGAAGCAAACACTAGGACCAGACTATTAAACTACCAAGCTGTTATGTAGGATTTTCTAAAAGTTTCATCTGCATTTTGCATTTGGCAAAAACAAAATGATTTGCTTAGCACTGCTTAGCCATAGAGGCAGGAACCATATATCCCAGCCATCAGAAAGACAAATAATTTAGCAGGACTCAGTAAGACAAAAGGAGTTACAGAGAAAGGCAGAGACTGACTTGCAAGAAACCAACAAGACCACTTACGTGAGCAACTCTGATGCCTGTACAAAAGGTAATTTTCCCTTTGGGTTGCACCGTGTGTAGCTTTGAAAGGATTCGGCCTGTGTCTGGGGTGAGCGTGGTCAACACTTCACAGTTACTACAACAAAAATACATTTAAATTGGTGACCTTTTATTTGAGATTTTCTTTGCAAAATCCTTCATTTCCTGTGGGCGTAAGAGAACCCTCCCTGCAGTAAGCCTGTAGTTTGCGTGTACTGACAGTCTGCCAGCATTTGCCCTGGAAGGGTCAGTGCATACAGGGAGCAAGACTTTTAGCCTGGCTTCCTGAAAAAACAAAGCATGTAATCTGTCTGTGTGAAGGCCTGCAAGTGCCTGCCCCAGCAACCTTGAGCCCACTGGCCAATTTTAACCAGTTCTGGCTGAGAGGGGGCTCTCAAAGGCACTGAGTTCCCACAAGCTTCAGGAAAACAGAAGAAACACTCTCTCAAGGCTACCCACAAGCTGCAGTGACAGCTCAGCCCTTATTAGCCACCTTTTGGGACACAAGCCCCCAAGAGACAGGTCTGGAAGAGAGTTCCAGACTAGAGAGAAAAGCCTCTGAAATGCTTCAGCATCTTGATGCAGCAGTGAGCCCAAAAAGCCAGACACCTGTCAGAAACAGGCTTTCTCATACCAGTCCTCCTGGAACAACTGGTTTGGTTTTAGACTGTGCTACTCCTGCCCCATTTTGCAATAATCCCCTTGATCCTCGCCCCCACACTCTCCCACGCATCCCCCAGCCCCTCCTCAGCACTGGCACCCGCTTGTTGCGAGACCCTGCACTGGCCCCCTGAGGCTGGAGGCCTCCAGGCAGTCCTACTTGGCTAAGGTAATGAGCCCCACGTTGTTCTCGGGGTTGCTGCGGGTTTTTGAGTGGCACACAATGTTGACAGCATCTTGCTGGGCTTGCAGGCGAGTGGGTAAGAAGTCTCCATTTCTCATATACTCGCTGTTGTCCACACTGAAACACAGAGAAGGTATCAGCTTGGAAGGTGAGGCTTATCCCCAAAACATGCTTTTCAGGATGTGAAAGCTGAGGTCACAGAGCTGGGGACACACCACAGGACACAAACACTTCCCAGAGGCAAAGGGACCTGAGCCCAGGCTACCAAGAACACAGCAATTCCCCTCTAGCTTTCCACAAGTATTCAGATCACACCCATCTTTCAGGGAGGAGGGACATATCCCAGGGACTGTCTGTTGGGTCTCAGGACAAATGCTTGCAGCCCCACAACAGCCAAGGAGCCTGAGCCAAGCTGGAAGATCCTGCTGTTGCTGAAGAGCATGAGAAGTTGCTCTGGATGCTGCAATTGCACAAACTCAAGCCACGCTCCCCAGGATGTTCACAAGCCTTCTCCAGTCTCCACAGGGCCACAACAAAAAACCTGCCAGGAGATACCGCTCCACCCTAACATACCAAGCCCTGCACTTGACACCGCTACGGAGAAGCTTTCCTCATGACAAAAAGCAGTTTTCCACTTGAGTGCAAATACATGCATGGGAGACTGCAGGGCTTTCAGGGCACGGGGAACAGACTGCAGAGCTCTTTGCAAAGCCTGCTTCCAAGAAAATCAGCGTCTCTGCTCCACAGGACAGGGGTGCAGTGGTCTCCTCAAAGCGAAAGGGCAACACTGCAATGAGTCAATCCCCCTGAGTCACATAGTCCAGCTTACCCAGTCTAACTTACAACACATGATGGGCATCAGGGCCTGAACACCAGGAGAGGTCCCACGCACACAAAACTGCCCAGGTTTATCTCCATGCAGCGCACAGGCAACAGTGCCCCACAGCGTCTAACTGCAGCAGCCACAACAAAACAATGCCATAATTAAATCTCTACCTTCCAATCTGTTGGCTATTATAGATAGCACAGAGGAGGCAGAAAAAGCTGTGTTCTTACACTGGCCTTCAGGAAAGCAACTCAAAAGAGAAGGATTAATTTAAATAAAAGCTTGAAAGTTTATCTCCGCCTCAAATTAAGACTTCCCTAAACAGTACTGCCACACTTTTAGTTTTCACACCAGCAAAAATGTTTCTTTTTGAAACAACTGCTTGCTTGTGACTGTTTTCCTGACACTGCAGCCATGGGTTCCCAGTCAGGACCGGCACATGATGCTGACACTGGGCTGCTTCTCCTCCTGTCCCACGCCGAATATCCCAGCACAACCTGTGTACTGGCCTACATGGCTGCAGGGCAGCAAGAAGGCAGCAGCACAAACTTCATCTTATAACATGGACAGTCTAGTTGGAGGCCTGTAGCTAGGTGTCCCCCAGGGGTCAGTGCTGGCTCCAGTCCTGTTCAATGTATTCATCGCTGACCTGGATGAAGGGACAGAGTGCACCCTCAGCAAGTTGGCTGAGGATACTAAACTGGGGGGAGTGGCTGGGGGGAGAAGACTGTGCTGCCTTTCAGAGGGACCTGGACAGGCTGGAGAGGTGGGTCAAGAGGAACCTCCTGAGGTTCAACAAAGGCAAGTGCAGGGTCCTGCACCTAGGGAGGAAGAACCCCATACACCAGTACAGGTTGGAGGCTGACCTGCTGGAAAGGAGCTCTGCAGAGAAGGACCTGGGAGTGCTGGTGGACAACAAGTTAAACATGAGCCAGCAGTGTGCCCTTGTGGCCAAGAAGGCCAAGGGGATCCTGGGCTGCATTAGGCAGAGTGTTGCCAGCAGGTCAAGAGAGGTGATCCTGCCCCTCTCCTCAGCCCTGGGGAGGCCACATCTGGAGTACTGCGTCCAGTTCTGGGCTCCCCAGTACAAGAGAGACACGGCACTACTGGAGAGAGTCCAGCGGAGGGCTACAAAAATGATGAGGGGGCTGGAGCACCTCTCTTATGAGGAAAGGCTGAAAGAGCTGGGCCTGTTCAGCCTGGAGAAGAGAAGACTGAGAGGCAATCTCATCAATGTGTACCAGTATCTGAAGGGAGGATGTCAAGAGGATGGGGCCAGCCTCTTCTCCGTGGTGCCCAGCAACAGGACAAGAGGCAACGGGCACAAACTGAAACACAGGAAGTTCCATTTGAACAGGAGGAAAAACTTCTTGACCGTGAGGGTGACAGAGCACTGGCACAGGTTGCCGAGAGAGGCAGCGGAGTCTCCTTCGCTGGAGATATTCAAAACCCGCCTGGATGCGATCCTGGGAAATATGCTCTAGAGGACCCTGCTAGAGCAGGGGGGTTGGACTAGATGATCTCCAGAGGTCCCTTCCAACCTCAACCATTCTGTGGTTCTGTGACAAAGGCACAAAGAAACAAAGCGACATATGCCCAAAGCTGTCTGAACTTCAGTTTACTGTTCACGAGGCTGATCACAACCTCCCACTCTCCAGGACAACACAAGGAATGGTGACACGTTTTAACACCCTTAAACATGAGTAAGAAGAGAGTTACCTAGAGAAAATATCAAGGACTTAAAATACAGTCAACAAATCAGACTACTGTAATATCTTTATGCAAACAATAGCAGGAATACGTAGAGAGATAAAGAAACAACAGAACCTGTGTGTATTCCAAGGATTTGCTCTATTGTGGCCTCTTTAACCATCAAAAACAAGAGGTGTCAGGTCTGAGAGGCTGTAGCTGTTGTGATAGTACTGACACATCAAAACAGCAGGTTTAGCATGTAATCTGAAAATCAAAGTTTCCTGCTTCCAGCCCTGGACTCAGCTTGTGTTCAGCACACAGGGCCCCTTTACCTTGAAACTGATGCTGAGCAACATTAAAAGCCACGTTATAGCTGTGCTAGGACGCAGCATCACCCAAGCATTAACCCCTTTGCTCCAGTCTCGGAGGCGTGGGGTACAGCCCAGAGCCCGGGCAGCTCTTCTCATTGGGGTAGCAGGTTACAGCCACACAAAGCTGTCCCAGCCCAGGCTGGCAGTGCTGGGGGCTGCAGGGGGCTGGGCCTGAAGCTCTACCAGGTCTGCACTCCAGCTCTTTGCTGTACCACTTTGATGTGGATTTTAGTCCAGCCAGGTTTACTGATGCCCGTTTGTTGTCCCAGCGTTTCCTGCCACCACATTACCCAAGCAGCAGCAGCTCTTCCCAGCCCCTTCCCCATCATCCAGCTCTCCTTGTGGCCATCAAGTGTCCCCTCGCACCCCCATTGCGTAGGGGACCTCCACTGTCCCCTACAAGAGCCTCTTCATCGTTGTCTCGCCTCCGTAATCCCCTTGCTTAGCCCAGAGCCTTCCCCATCAAAAGACCCCTCCTGACCCCAACCTGCTCCGTAACTACCCCCAGCAACAATCCTCCTTCCACACCTCACTTTCCTGGACAGCCCCCAATCTAACCTGCTCCCCATTTCACCCAGCCTCTCCCCCAAGCAGCCACCACCCAAAACCTTCCCTGCCACCTCGACCCTACCTCCATCCCAGCACCCATCCTCTCCTCAACCTAAACAACTACCACTGCTCCCATTCCCCCTCCCAGCCCTTCCCTCCCCACACGCCTCCTCCCATATATCCTCTACCCCAAACTTCTACTCAGACCCTGCCTTGCCCACTCCACACACCTCCCCCTGCATATCCCCCAGGCCAAATTCTCCCTGTCCCAAACCTCTCCCCACCCCAGCACTGCCTTCTCCACCCCACACACCTTCCCCTATATACTCCACACCTCTCCCCCTCCTTACAGGCCTTACCTTTTTCACCCCAGACACCTCCCCCTGCATATCTCTTGCCTCAAACTTCCCCAGCTCAGGCCCTGCCTTGTCCATCCTACACATTTTCACCCTGCCCCAAACCTTTCTGCCTCCATATGGGCCTTACCTTTCTCACTCGCCCCCCACCCTTTCCCTTATATATCCCCTACTCCAAACCTCTCCCCCCAGACATTGACTTCCCCAACCCCACACACATCCCTCTATGTCCCTCCACCCCAAACCTCACACACCTTCTCCTGTATGTCACCTACCTCAAACCTCTGCTTGGCCCCCCAGACCTCTCCCCGCCTCAGGCAGT